CCCGTATGTCCCAGAATTGCATTTTGTAACACCAGACGGGGATGCTAATTACGCGTTTGAGTTCACTCCCGCAGTGAATTCGTGATGACAGGTCTGGCAGTAATCAATGTATCTGCTACACTTGTAATGATTTAATGCGAATGCCATGGTTACTGCTTGGAATAAAAGTGAATGGGCTCTCGCCTTGTCTGGGGAGCTCAGTTGGTTGGCGCTTCGTCCCATATACCAAAACAGTTGCAGGTTTGATCCTGTCAGGGTGCCTATGGGAGGCAACTGACCAATACTTCTCTCTCATATGGATGCTTCTCCCCTTCTCTCTTCCATCCTCTTTCTCTAGAAATTAATTTAAAAAAATCCTCTGGTGAGGATTAAAAAACAAACACACAAGCGAATGGGTTCTGCACATTTTAGGTAGGAGTCACAACTTGATCACCCAGAAGTACATTACAGAAGCTTCCTGTATTTTTGACAAAGCCCAAGGTGGGCTTCCAGCAAGACCTGTGATTTCCCTAGCAACCTTTTCTTTGCAATGAGGTGCATAGTAGGCAATACCTGCCCTCGGGCCCAGCTTCAGAAATACCACTTCAGCAGAAGGGTGTGCTGGTTCAACTGGACACTAGGAAAAAATAATTATTTCACAATGAATGTGTCAGTCCACCCAGGCGTCAGAAGTCGAGCTATGAGCTCCTTCCCCTTGTGACTTGCTGCTGGGGCTGAGGCATGAAGGGGGCGGGCCCCAGGGTAGCAGTCCCACAGTGGACAGTCAATGGTGGGTCCCCCATTCTTGCCCCTCAAGCAACCTCTAGAGTCAGCTCCTACACTGCCTTCCTCAGACTGTTTCTCCCTCCACTGCAGCCGCCTGTGGCTCGAGGATGAATGAGTAGGAGAGGAACCTCAGCACCGGCGAAGCTGCCTAAACCGTGGGTAGTGTGCTTTCATTTCGCTGACTTGCGTGTGCCCGAAAGGCTGACAGTGGTCCCCACGGGGCTGGGCCATGAGGAGGGTGGGCATGGACCTGCGAGGAGGAGTGCAGTCCAGTGGATGAGCACGGGCCAGGCACTTCCCCACTGGGCACCTGGCCCCCTGACCCACCGCCAGCCCGATGGGCCTCACCTCCCTGGGAGACTCACAGTCCTCACCTTTCTCTTGCTTCTGCAGCATTTCTGGGTTACATGAAGAGAGAGAGCCACCCCTTTGTGTGGGTTTCCATCCTGTTAAGGAATCCACTACCGTTGGCTTGAGATGGTACGATCTTAGCTGCATTTTGAGTCTCTATTGATACACCTGGAAAGATCAGACTAAATGATCTGCCTCTTAAACATGTATGTGTCCCAAACGATTCTGCTGTCTACCCTGAGGTGCCTGGAGGAACCCTCGGTGATGGTGGGCTTCATGTGTCCATGGTCCAGGCTCTGGTGCCCAGGTCTTGGTCAAACATGAGTCTGGATGTTGCCATGAGGTCGTTCTGTAGATGGGATTAACATTGACAATTAGCTGACATCATGTAAAGGCCATGACCCTTGTAATGTGGATGGGCCTCATCTGATCAGTTGAAGGCCTCCAGAGCAAAACTGAGGATTCCTGGGAAAAAAGGAATTCTACCACAAGACCGTAACATAGAGGTCCTGTCTGAGTTTCCAAATGGCGGGCCTGACCTATGGATTTTGAACTTACCAATTACAATCACAGGAGCCAATTCCTTTCAAATCAATTTCTCTCTCATTCTCATATTCTCTATGTCTCCACCCCCCCCAAAAAAAACCCCCCAAATATTCAAGTTGTTCTTTTTCAGTCTCTCCAGCTCTGAATTTGCTCAGAACAAATGGTGACATGTGAGGAGTGAAGAAGACATCATCTCTAGACCTGTTGGGTAGTATCTTCTCCCAGGTACACACACCCTCCCAGTGTCTTAAATTCCAAAGTCATTGTTCCCTCAGGGCCTTTGACCAGCTGTTCCCTCATCTAATCCAAGGCTCTCTCTCATCTTTGCACGATCATTCCTCCAGTTCTCTGTCCCCTCTACAGAGAAGTCCTCCCTCACCACTCGGGGAAAGCAGCTGTCCAGTATGCTGTCACAGCCCCCTATTCAAATGAATTAAATTTAATATCCTGCCCAGAAATTATGTTTTCTTGTATATTTCTTTACCTATTTGCTTAGTATCTTTCTCCTCTCACTAGAACCTAAGTTTCCTGAGAGCAGAGATGTGTCTGTCTTGTTCTCTAGTGAATTCTGAGAGCCCCAAATAGTGCCAAGTGCATTGGAGGCACTCCATGAATATTCATTAAGTAAATTGAGTCTCTAATTTGTTTTTCCTTTAAAATTCAGGTAGTGGTATAATTATTGAAATGATCTTACTCATTTTTGAAAGATGATTATTTGTTTTGTTTTTGCCTGCAATAGTTCTTACTAGCTGCCCTGAGATATTTTTTCCTTTATTTGTTCTAAACGTGCCTTCTTTCTGGCTTCAAAGGCTGCCCCTGGTCCCGAAAGCCCGGGTCTTAGGGAGTCCGCTCATAGTCACCCTCTCTATACCTTTCGTGACTTAAAAGCTTGCTCTAGTGTCTCAAATTAGCTCTCGCCTTCCTAGACATAAGAATTTTATCTTCCAAGCTTCTACTTATGAAACCAAAATAAATTATTTTCATCATCTTGGCCTTTTTAAATCTCTGTCACATCTTTTTAAATTTTATAATTTGAGTTTCTATTTTTAGGAGAAATGATGAACTTTCTCATGCTTTGATTCAGGGGACATAAAAAAAATGTTCCTTTCACTCCTTTGGGGTAGACTTGACGTACATGTTTATTTTCCCTGTCCCAAGAGATTCACCTTACCACCTCACACCCAAAGGATAAATTAAGATGAGTGGAAAGATGGTGGAAGCGTGATCGGGAAAAAACCCCTTGCGTTCTCTTCCTGGTAAAACTGCTTTGAGCTGTGGTCATTACCGGCATCTTGAGCTGTTTGGGGAGGGGACGGCGGGTTGCTGGTAGGAAGGAGTCTTCAGGCACAGGGATTATTTAGTCCAGGCTTCACTGAATTCGAGGCTTTCAGAGGGACCAAGAAAAGATGGGCATATGCTAAGGATTACTCACCTAATACTTGCTTTAAAGAGTTAGTTTTCATACATAGGTTCCTCTGGGAGGACACAAACCCTTTCTCAAAAAATAATACAATGACTTTCTCTTCTCTGTGTTCCGGTAAGTCCATCATGCCATGTTATCACCAACAAATTAGATGTAGTTTCTCCAACATACCTCTCCCCCTATAACTCCCTCTTCTTCCCTCCCCTGTCTCTCTACCCCACCATTCATTTCACAAGCATTGCCTGATGCACAATAAAGCCCCAGTCCTCCTGGAACTCACCCATCTCCATGGCCGTGCGTTTGTGGGAGGGAAGTGAGCATGTCCTGGCTCAAATGCTCTTGTTGTAGACAGTAAACCCGGGACTTGCTGGCTCACCCTTAAACATGTGTTTGTTAAGAACATTCAGAAGTGCTGATTGTCAAGGGACTTGATGACATTCTCCCTGTACCGGTTGGACCATGTTTGCAAAGCAGCATGACAAGATCCTATGGCATAATGCTTTCTGAATGGACCTCTGCTGTGGCTGTGGATTGGCCCTGAGAACTGCTGAGGAGCAGAAAGGTTGGGTGTTAACTGGCATTAAAGGTATATTTAAAGGCTTCACTGAAAACAGATGAAAAGAAAATGCCTTCCCAATGGTAACAGAAGACCAGAAAGTGGGGGTGATAACTCAGGACGACAGCTCTTAATACACATGGAGCACATTTAGGAAGGTCCGCACCTCCAGGCAGTGCTGAGCCCTGGGATCTAGTTCACTGGCCTGGGCCCATGTGTCCATCATCCAGTGTTACTTCCTCATTCCGAATAAGGCTCAGAATACGCTCTGGGCGTCGCTGGACTCTGTCCACATTTTACCAAGCTGTGTGTACATTAAACCAAAACGTGAAACCAATATCCATGAAGCACTTTAAGAAAAACGGGAGAGGAGAGGAGTGTGTGGCCAAGGAAGGTTAACAATGGGTGCATCTATCTAATACCTGTCTTGGAGGAGGGGCTGTATCTTCACAGCTTTGGAAAGGTTATGTTCCCAAGGGATGTACACTTCAGGGCTTGGAACTTTCTTTGCTGAAAGCTGATAATTGCTTCTAAGAGAATCGAGTGGAACAAAACACAGAAAGCCACTTTTAGGATAATTAAAACTATTTTGGATTTTTTATTTATCAATCTGGTTTCTAATATAATTTTAGTTAAATGAAAGAACATTCACAAAGAATATTAGGCATACATACATAATTTCCTTCTTTCATTCTAGTTTACATGCTGTTGCTTTTAGGGAGGGAAATTTTGTGTTATTTCACAGGAATGGGACCCTCATTGACTTTACAGAGAGAATATTTACGCCAACTTTTCACAACGCTAACCTCCATAGTCACCATGCTCACTGAAAAAAATGGAAAACGCAAAGAAAGAAAACTTAGACTGAGCGACACTGGGAACTGTCTCGGCCTACGTGGGAGGGGCCTCCGTGTCCTCATAGCCATCCAGAGTCCAGCACTGACTAGAAATAAGCCAAGGCTTGAGAATGGTGCAGGCCGTCCATAGACCTGTTCTTAAAGAACATTTTCATCTGGAAAATAAACTCGTGAATGCAGGTTAGACATTAATACCTAGGTGCCCCTCTGCCTTTATTCCTCTGACAGTCTGTGCTCAATGGGCGTTAACCAACTTTTCAACTCTGCTTTACCATCCGTTTACGTACCACCTTTATCCAAAAAATACTGCTGGGTAAGGAATAGGACGTTTCCAACGTTATCATGCAGAGCCAGAAGGCTATGCAAAAAGTCACATTTGTTGTTTGTACTATCTTACTTAGAAGCCAGTTAATCACACCGAGGGTGGGGGTAAACTGCACGCGGATGAGTGGGAACTGAGGGCTTTATGCACGTGAAGTCCTGATTTCTCTGGCTCGGTCCGGGCTGTGTTGCCTCGCGCAGTGTTGACAGTTGGCCCCTTGGCACTCTACCTGATGAGTAACTTAGCAGTTGGTTGTGCAGCGATGCCCTGCATAGCTCCACCTTCCCCGACATGGCCACGTTGTTTCTTTGGATCTGACTTACAACCACAACCCGGAAAGCACGTCTTCTACTAGGCTCCGTTGACTCTGGCCCTTATATTTGGGTTTCCAAGTATTCTCCCGTCAGGAATCGGGGCCCCTCACAATTGTCTTATAAAGTCAGTAAAACAGCTCTAACTTAAATATAGGCAAAGGAGGACAGAGGTTCAGCAACTTGGCAAAAGTCACAGAGCAAAGCAGGGAGAAAGAGGAAGGGTTGGGCCTCTGTCAGCTGACTCTCAGGGTCCTCACTCCCCAAATGTCATTTAAAAAATGGTGCCCATTGTTTTTTAGTCCAAATTGGCAAGCCTCACTATTATCGTTTCTCACTGATTTCAGGATCAGCTCATTCTCCTGGGATGGCAGTTTGTGACCTATATTTGGCTGGTTAACTGGAATTCAATGAATAATTCGATTTGATAATTTGCTGCCTTTCTTTTTGAAAACTGCTTGGTAGGATGAAGAAAAGGAGCACATAGGAGGAGGTTCAAACCAGGTGCTAATCGTTTGGAGGTGTGAGACCTAAAGCAGCCATGAACATGTTCACACTGGAAGAACAAGCGGAAGATGAGAAAAGAACTGATCCTGTTTTAGAGGGAAATCAAAGCCTCTTCTTGACCTTTCGCTGACACTCTGCTTTCATAACTGGTAGCTGTAGCTGTTTCCTCAAGTGCCTTCTCTGATGTGGCTTGTGTCTTTGTGCCCATCTCTCAGCTGGCACCTGGTGGTTCAACAGATGTTCAACCATAACATGAAAATCTCTTCGGCTTGCACCAATTCTTTTCCCCGTGCTCCTCAATTCCTGCTCCTGTTAGCAAAGGTGGCTCATTTATCAAATGCAGGCAACAGGACATTTTCCAACAAGGGCACTCACTCCAAACTCTCATTCCCAGCTCTTCAGTAAAAACTTCATGTAAGTCTCTTGACTTGAGCCATTGGTTGAAAGCCACAAGGAAAAATGTAGTCCTATACAGAAGAGCTGGAGAAGAGCTTAACTATAAAATAACGTCTCACCTTTGGAGCTAGCTTCCTTGAGCTCTATGGAATGGTATCTTGAGAGCTTAGAATGGCACTGGTTTTACGTTCATTCAAAGTCCCCACTGCTGGCTTCTCAGACATAGGTGCTTGCTTTATACACAGAAGCCATTTCCTGTACAAGCAACACTAAGACCAGGAGGAGCTTTCCCTGTGATGGTAAACCGGCCTCTTGTTTGAAAAAACAGTTTTGTGGTTTTATTTTGTCTGTTCTTATTATGTAAAGATGCATTACCGCTGGCCTTTTGTGCTTGACTGCTGATGCATTGGGATGGAAGATGTTGCGATTCTGCGGAATATGGCCAACGAAGCAAGATTAGGCACCGCGCTTGGGCCCTGTGTCCGGCTGGCTAGGCTGCACTGTCCTGAACTTTCAAGGGAGGGAGCTGGAAAGAAGCTGGTTTCCTTTCTTCACGTAAACAAGTTGTTAACCATTTAGAAAGGACTGGATAGAGGCATCATAAACAGACTCAGGAGTTATTGTGAAGACCACAGTCCCAAAGAGAAGTCAGATCTCCAGCCTTCTTTTGGCACTTTAATTCCTTATCCACCTTTTTGTGTCCTGTCTGCTGGCAGGATTGTAACCCCTTTAAGGGCAGAGACGGTCATACCTCTGTCTGTCCTAAACATCCCAAATGATGGTGCTGTGGGAGACCCACTGATCCCGGGAGGCATTCCAGGGCCCTAGGTTTAGAAATTCGGTCAGAGAAGTGTTGGGTATTACTTTTAACATTTTATAGCAGGAAAGTGGAAAGAAGAGAGAGAAGAGAAAGGGTGAGAACATTTTCCTATCAGGGACTGTTTTGATTGTTTCAATTCCCTAATCATATTGGGGAACAGGGGAAGTGTTGAGACAATATATAGAGAATAAAGCTACCAAGGAAAATGCAAGAAATAACCAATCTGCATTATTTGTTAAGTACAAAGGTAATGCCTGTAAAATAGGTTTAAAAAAAAATCAGAAACATCTGTAATACAACGTTTAAAATTTTCTTTTTCAATTTGATAATACATAAAAGAGCCCTGAATGGAGGCATCTTGGTTCAATCAATAGCCGTTGTTTTCTATGTCATTTGTAAATGTTACAGTGTTCTGATATTTATCATATGAAATACTTTTCATTTTTAATGTGATTTACATTAGAGTGATTAAGACCCTTCTTAGTTTCATGAGAGGACCTGAGGTCAGCAACTGGAAAAAGGGGTTTGGATTCCCGTGTGTTCTGTCACCGTGGCTTGAATGGGTTGTGTCTCCTATGGAATGTGCCAGTACTTGTGCCACGTACCTCTGGCAGCTATGGACAACATTTTCCTGACTCAGGAAATTGAGGTCCTCCAATAACTTTGGCATACCCAGTAAGTGGAAAAGTATGCATATACACAGGTAAACTAGAATTTCCATTTTACCAAGGCAGGCTATGAGAAAATAGCATTGATACCTTTTTAACCTCATCTTACCTAGCAGGAGAAGGAAAACAAGTGGTCAAATATTGGAGTCTAAAATTTTTTTAAAAAAGTATTAAGGATAAGAGCCTGAACTATACTGACCATAAATGGTAGTCATTCTAGAAATAACTTTTATGTAATCCTTTATTAAATAAGTGAAATTATTTTTTAGATGTTCCAATAGGAGCTGTCCCATCAGTTTACATACTATAAGTCTATTATTTTTTAATAAAATCAACGAGTTATTTGTTGGGATAATTGGTGAAAGTTCCTGACTAAAGTGAAGTGTGAAATGACTAGACAGATACTCTTTCTGAGAAGCAATTTTGGAGACCAGGTTTGTGGTGAACCAGAGCTTCAAATGTATCTGCCAAGGAAGATCGCTGACGCAACGCAGCATGTCTGTTTTAGATGGAGCAATACAGGGAGTAGATGTAAAACATGGCAGTGTTTTCCCCAAAGGACTCCAGAGTAGTAGAAATACAAATAGCAATCACAACTTGGCTTTATTGTGTCCGTTCACTGTCTGCTAGTTTGTCACGGGGGCTTAAAAACTAGAGATTTAAAGCAAACTGAGAACCACTTAATTTATGCATTAGCCAGACAGCGTCCATATTCTTACTACAACTATGAAAGAAACAGAGCAAATGGATCATGACATGTGCCTCTAATCCTACAATGAGATGCTTACACATCCATGTAACATAACCCAGTATGTTGTAGGTAGAGCGGAGGAAAATCAGTGATAGGTACAGACACTGAACAGATCTAAGACTACAAACATAGAACAATATGATCTCACAGAATTCAATGAAAAATAAAACCAGCAATCCCAATGGGAAACTACTTGCCCTGGTACTTAATGCTTCTCTCCGCTGTGTTGATGATGATGTTACCTCATAGGTGCCATACACCTTCTTCCTTTGACTGCTTCAGGCAGGAACTCTGGGAAAATCGGCACAGGTTGAGGTCTAATTGAAAACTGGCAAATAATACGTTCTCTTTGCCTCTTTCTTTCCTTCTCCAATTTATAGGATACCAAAAATAAACATTATATGAACATGAACTAGTAGCTACAATAGCCCATTAAAAGTTGACTACATGTGAAAGGAAAAGAATGCTGGAGGCCACGTGTCGGTGCATCAGCTTTCCTCAAGAAAAAATATGCACGTTCTAAGGGCTCTTAAAAATGTAGAAAACTTGCCCTGTTACCATGGATTTTTAGAACACCTCTAAACACACACAAAATAGGACAGATTTTACCTACAAATTTCAACCATTGCTTAAACTCTAAAAGCATTTTTGTATTATTTTGTTTTGATACAGAAGGGAGAACTCAGCTATAAAGAAATATTAAAAAGTATTATTATATATTTTTTGTGTGTGACGATCAGTCTCAAGAATTTTCTGTTGCTTGCCTCCCCCAACTTGTGCTGATATTTTAAAGGATGTGCTCAAGAGTATGAAGCAGGGTGCTTTTGTCCCTTTCCCTTCCCCCTCCCTATCCCACAGCCAAAGAGCCACCCCTCAAATGAGCCACTCCTTTTTGCTTTCGTCAATGGTCTCTGTGAAGTTGGGGTCGTTGTTCATGATGGCAGCATCTGCGCTCTCTGCGGACTCTGCTCCCTTCGCTTCGTTGGTGTGGTAGGTGCCCTTGTGACGGAACATGTAGCGAATGAGGAAGACCAAGGTGCAGAGAATGGTGAAAATCACCACAGCAATGACCCCTGGTGGAGACAGGACAAGGACTACAGGTTACACTTAGTCTTACCTATCCCACCAACACTTCCCCCCACTTCACCATGGTTTCTTCAAACACTACCCTCTCCCATAAAAACACAAACCTCCAAAAACAATAACTGCAAAAACGAACAGAACTGAAAGGAGAATTAGACCAATTTACGGACTTGGAGATTTCAACACTCTTCTCTCAGTAACTGATAGAACAACTAAACAGAAAATCAATAAGAAGTTAGAAGACCTAAAAAACATGACCTAAGGAAACAACACTAAGAGGAAGTCCTATTCAACTCACTTTATGAGGCCAGTATTGTCCCGATACTAAACCCACACAAACACATTATGAAAAAGAAAATCCTCAAGCAATATTCCTCTTACATAAAATTTAAAAATCAAACCTAGCAATATGTAAAAAATATATTATGATAAAGTGATGTTAATTCTAGGAATACAAGATTGGTTTTACATTAAAAAATAAAGCAATGTAATTTATCACATTAGGCAAATAAAGGAGAAAAATGATAATCTCAATAGATGCAGAAAAGGCATATGGCAAACTTTGGAATTGGGATTAAGCAGCATCATACATTATAAGTTATACTCAGAGAGGCAGAAACACTTTTATGAAATAAGACAGAAGCAGGAAGAGAATATGACAATGGGCAACAAGGGTTATCAATATTGATCCAAATATGAGGATTATCCCAGGAGAGTCTAATTATTCTATAGGTAGCCATGGTCAGAAGGAAAGACTGGAACAAATTAGATATTCTGGCTTATTAGTTTTCTGAAACTAGACCTGCACAGTCTTTCCAATTTTTGTAGTAAGCTACCCTGGACCATTTGGGACATGAGAGAATGAAAGTAAAAAAAGATAGGAGGGAGTAAGGACATGTCATGGCTATTGCCTCTCAGCTACTTACATATTCAGATTTGGCTAGCTCACCATTATTCTTATTTTACAGGTGTGCATTTAGAAAGTAGCCAGGTTATATTTCCACAGTTTATCCACATCCATACTTCATAATCTGAAGCCATATTTAAATAGCAAAATGATGCCCTGACCGGTTTGGCTCAGCGGATACAGCATTGGCCTGCGGACTCAAGGGTCCCAGGTTCGATTCCAGTCAGGAGCATGTACCTTGGTTGTGGGCACATCCCCAGTGGGGGGCGTGCAAGAGGCAGCTGATCGATGTTTCTCTCTCATCGATGTTTCTAGCTCTCTATCCCTCTCCCCTCTTCTCTGTAAAAAAATCAATAAAATATATTAAAAATAAATAAATAGCAAAATGAATACTAAAAATCTAGCTAGACAACCTGTTTTTCCCCTGGACCATGATTTTCTTGCTTCTGGCTGGCTGGCATGGCTCAGTGATTGAGCATTGATCTATGAACCAGAAGGTCATGGTTTGATTCCCAGTAGCAGCAAATGCCTGGGTTGCAGGCTCCGAGTGGGACGTGCAGGAGGCAGCCAATCAATGTTTCTCTCTCATCGTTGATGTTTCTATCTCCCTCTCCCTCTACCTGCCCCTCTGGAATTAATTAAAAAATACTTTTTTTAAAAAAATGACTGCTCCCCACAGGTGAGTAGCCACAGGAAAGCCTGTTCTGTACATCACCTACCTCCAATGATGGCCGAGTTTCTGTTGACTCCATTTCGTATAGCTTGGCCTTGTCCTGGGTTATATGGAAAATCAGCACTGGCTGTAGAGAAAGAAATGGAGAGTCAGCTCAGAGAGTGAGGTTCACCACTAATCCCAAGTAATGTGGCACCTGTCTTTTCATACAACTCTTTACTTCCCGTTTTCCCAAATGAGATGCCCATTTCAGGTGGACGCATCTTGCTGCTGCTTCCCAGGAGAATCACAGCAACATCCACCCCTGTGCCTGCTGGTTTCCTTCACAGAGAAGGGCTGCAACTCCTTTGGAGGAAGATCAGAGACTCGAACTACCCGGGCTGCCCTCTCCAGTTCCATTGACAGACAAGCTTATGGATTATAATACTTCAGTTTGGCTGAAACCTGCCTCCTGTCCCCTTTTATCCCATTCACAACTGGTGGCAGTGGCTGTACTCACAGACCAGCTTGTTAAAGTGTGCAGCATTACTTTAAAAAGCAATCACTTCTTGATATTAATATTTTACATTGCTCTAACAAAACATTGTACACTTCAGGAATATTTTATAAGGGAGTAATATTTCATGAGAGCTGAGAAGAATATTAATTATCTAATAAATATTCTCT